TAGAGTAGCCAGTCCTGCTAGCTAGCTGTAGCACTAGGGAGAGACTGCTGTTAATAGTGTTAAATATCTCAATAATTAGGTCAAATTAAACAACAATTGCAGTTGCATGTCCATTTCTGTCATTCTTTATTTACATAATTTGAAACCGCTGCCCTTTACATTGTGTAAACAGTTCACGATGAATGGACCAATAGGAGTGGTCAAACATTAAACAAAATCTTGTCACTTACATTAGAGAGTTTTTTTCCTTCCCCTGAAAAGTTACCAGTTTGGAGGTTTTGTTCCAACAGCAAGAAATGTAGAGTGCACATTGTTTGTTGTAAGTAGGCGTACATGAGTGCAATTGTCAGTTAATAAATGCTTTATTACAGCTAATGAACATTAAGTAACCTACAAGATGAATGCTAATTTGGTCTGACAAGGGGCAGCGTCAGGAGGCTAAAGCCTATAAACAGCAATTCAAATGTAAAACTGCATAAACAAAAAATATGTCTACCATGACATTACACTTACACTGATCTCACGCTTTATAATGTCAATATTTCAACACTAAAACAAAAAAAGGACTGCTAATAACTGTTATTAAAATAATTATCAAACAATTATAGTGCAGTAGTGTTGAAAATGGTTCTAGAACAGGTTAGCAGAGTTTCTTTCTTATTCACATTACTGACTAATTAAACTTTTATATACTTTTTTAAATCATGAATGCATTAATTGAGATATTAATAAGCTAAATACATACAAAAATCATCATTTATAGGGTGCTTCCTAATGGGAGGTGTCTATCCCAAACTCTAACCCCTAAATTTGAAAATAATGAATACTTTTTTCTTCAGTTATTTTTTAAGAACTGTTGATGTCTTTAAAGTTGAAAGGTTTAGATTTATCACAAGTTTAATTTTTAAATAAAAACTATTCAAAAAGATGCTGCTCCACATTTCCATGTCACTACCGAAACACAAAATGTTTTAGTCCATAGGTGGAGCCTTATTTTAGCCACACCCCTGCATTTTAGAACAGGAAGTGAGATTGCATCTCTGTCCCTCATGGCCACATGGTGAGCAGTTAGATCCCATTGTTTTGAAGTAAATGTGTCCCAAAGTCTGAAAATCAGTGTGCAACTTAAAAAAATTGTCTGTATTTTGTAAAAAACAAGTAAACTTCTTTGTGTTTTAATGAAAATAATCTAATTTTATGTGTGTACAACTGCTCAAAGCTGTGTTTGCTGGTTGTGTACTAGTGTTTTTGAGTGTCATCTGTCACCAGTAAAACAGTCACAGCTGAAATATTTGGTAAAGTTTCAATAGTGTTATGATTGTTTTAGGATTGACAAAATGGAATGTTCAATCATTTATTTTAATAAAATAAACATCAATTTATAGAGTCACTCAGAACAAAACTTCAGTCTAAAGTTTAAGTTAGTTAAAAGTCTGAAATATTTTTTCAACTCTGACTTTGAACCAATTTGGTAGAATGATCCATACTGCAGCTCTGTTGTAACTCAACTATGTACTTTTGGACAACCATCCCACAACCCCCAAAATATCTCACATAATTTAAAAAAGTGGCATGATTTTTGACTAATAGAACATAGAAATAAAAAAGACAGTGGACAAGCACTGGACAGAGCTAAAAGACTGATATTTAATCTTCGATACTTTTATGTGGGCCAGCATATAAGATCTACTTTTACAGTGCTCAAAACTTAATGAGCTACAGTAAACAAACACTCAGTTAACTCATAGAGGGAATAAACTGCATGGTCAGTGCTCCTTTTCTTACATTCCTGACAATTAATTAACACTTTTTTTATGTGTCCTTAGTCGTGTACTACAGCACAGTTTGAAAATGAGTTTAATATAATGCAGCTGATCTACTTTAGAGAGGGAAATGTCTATTTAAAGCTGCGGCTCCTATTTTGCCATTGAGTTTCTGCTTTAATTGCATCCATGTGTTTAAGCAGCTGGTTCAGCCACTGAGCCTCATAACTTCTGCCGGACAGAAGGTCGGTACCATTCCCAGAAATCAGCCATCGGAACGCATCGATACACCACGGCACCCAGGGGGCACGAACTGGAGCGCTCGGGAGAGGGGTTTCAGCTCACCATATGATTTACTTTAACTATAGGCCTCAACTAGAAAACACATAGAAAGCCAACATTCTGAAAATATAAGCCCTAATATAGGCTTGGCCTATTTATGCTTTTATATTCTCTCAAACAGGCTGTGGGTTGTGTCTGTTTGTGGTTTCTACAGAATACAATTATCACTAAATTGTTAAAGGGCTCATATCTTGGAAACCCAAAATTGCCTCGGTTTGTTAAATAAAATAGTTTATTGTAGTATATAAACACTGTTAAGGTTTAAAACATGCTGTTGACTCATCAGTACTTACAGGCCATATAAGGACACTAAACTGCAATTTTGTTTTTGTGATCTCATAAAAAAAAGCTCATTTACATACAGTCATACGCAAACGTTTGAACACCTCTGGTCTTATGTGACTTTCTTTTGAACACCTCATGTCAACTTGTGCTTTATTGATTTCCTAAGTGAAAATAAAACTAACATCCTCTACAGAGAACACACATAATAAGGGTATTTTTGTGCACAATTTCTATTTATTTGCTCAATGTAACATAATTCCAACACGCTAAATTCACTCAATAAATAGTAATTGTGCACTAAAATGTGCAGATGTCTGTTCTCTGTAAAGGATGTTTTATTTTGTTTACACTAGGAAACTTTTTCATACAACTGTATATCTAATTTACGCTGAAGTTATAAGGAGCATTTCAGCACTGTTTTATTATTTATTTATTTATTTAAATCGATCCCAATACAGGACCGGCAATCAGAATAGAGGTCATTAACATATACCAGTCTTAAAAGCCCAGTTACAACAGCAGCCTGTTGATGTAGATTAAGAGAGGCGGAGAAATATTTATGTACAAATAGATTAGTGTTTTGGTGCAAAATCCACACAAACATTGTAAGTGAACCTCAGCAAAAAAAATTAAATAAAAATGTGCAAAATGGAAACAAAATGCAATGATGTGCAGAACATTTAAAGCCTGTATTTAATGGAAAGTAGTACAAGGACAACATATCAAATGTTATTAAAAAAAAATGCCCATTTTGAATTTGATGTCAGCAACACATTTCAAAAAAGTTAGGTGTGTTCAGTTCACTAATTCTTCCAAAACACACTCTTAACTTATTTATTATAACTTATTTTTTCAGACTGACCACTATTTTACCATCCTCAACATTACATATATAATCTCAGAAGACACCTGTGGGTTCACTGGTTGTTTTTGGATAGTAAACAAAATGGCTTAGCATTGTAGACACTGGAACCGCTGGTTAATATCACCACTACTATAAAGAAAATATGCACTGGTAAGTTTCTCTACAAATTAAATACTTAACACCAAATCACTCTAAATGACTTTGTTTACATCATAACCACTGAATTACGGAGAAATTTTGAAAATCAGTGGAGTTCCCCTTTAACTGATGTATTTCCACTCAGCGCGATGCTAGTCAGCGCAGGCGTCTGTTAGCTGACGTAACAGATCTGGCGGTTGGCGCTTTCCTCCGAGCGCGTTCAGCTGTCCAGTGACGTTGCGTGTGCGGCAGTTCGAAAAGAAAGCGGTGGTTGGCTTCACAGGTCTCGGAGGAAGCCTGTGTTAGCCTTCACCCTCCTAGCGTTGATAGCATCGTGTGATTGGGGGAGTCCTAACTAGCGGGGTGGAATTGGCTACGACTAAATTGGGGAGAAAATCGGGGTAAAAATTAAAAAAAATAAATAAACTGATGTATTTCCCTCAGACGTACATGCAGGTATCACTTTGGTCACTGTTCCTATTGAAACACTGGCCAGTTGAGCAGTCTCTGTGAGTGAAGCTCCTGCCATCTTGATCTAAAATCTGGTAGGATATTGACTGCTTAACTGTATCATGCAGTACACCAGCCAGGATGCATCTGCACTTGTTATTTTCTCCACTCATTTACTCAGGTGTTTCCTTTAATTTGTTATCTGGTTGTATGTAAACATACTGTGCATAAGTCTTAGGCAGTCAAGAAAACTGTTTAAAACTATGCGCCTCAGGAGTATTTTGCCAGTAGAAGCACTACATAATATTAAATACAAATAAACACAAACACAGTAAATTTGATAGAATAAATTATTGTTTTTGTTCAGCATGCAAATGGATACAGAACTCCTACTAAAGGACCCTTGAAGCACCATCTTTTTTTAAGAGCATAGATTGACCCTGCACTCTGTGATTTCACCTCCTCTCAAACTCTTTTCTTTCAGGTTTGGTGGGCTAGATGATAAACTGAGAGGGTCTCAGACAGCAGACCTGAAAAGAATTTAGCCTGGGTTAATCTAGGTTAATCTAGGCAAGTTACTCTGCATGATAAATGTGCGCGGCTGCAAATTCATAAGATGGTACATTTTACCACAACGGCTCGAAGACTGATAATGAAATTACTCTGTATTTTATTGGAATTAAAAGCCTTGTTCCGTCCAATCGCGAACTATTTTAATATCACACCTATCATTAATGTGTGATATTAACAAACGAGTGGCTTTTTTCGACGCACGTGTGGCCAAATAAATCCGTGTTGTTTTCATTCAGGCTATAGCTTCTCCCCTCTCGTTCAGACAACATCACTAACTGATCACACGAGCGCCAGAAACGCAAGGGCTCCTCAATCTTACAGGAAAAGAGAACACGTCGAGACTCGTACTAAACAACAATCAACAAAATCACCGCAAAATCCAGGACATCAGAATGTTCAATTTTTCTACTTTAGGTGTAAGTAAAAACAAGTACTCTTTTCCTAATATAATGAACCACAGTCGTTTTTCCCGCCGTGACAAAAAGCTGAGAGTTTTAAGACCCTCCCTAGGCGCAAAAGTCACCAGACAGACAAGAAGAGAAAAACTTTCCCTAAAATAATATTTAATTTGCTCTCCGCGGTGTGATTTTCATAACCGACACGACTGTTTTTAATCGCTCCCGGTTTCTTTTTGCATAAAATTCAGACAAGACGAGGTTAAAAGGCACGGAGGTGGAGGCGCTTGTTCGGCCGTGCAGGTCGTGCGTAGTTGTTTTAGTTCCGGGTGCGAGTGGCTGGGTTTGTTGGGCTGGTCACCCTCAGAGAGCACTGAGAGCAGAGGAGTGGCCCTGTAACCCTCCAACACAGACACTCAGCCGCTCCCTCAGCTCCTCTCACGCAGGGACGCGCTTTCATGCACTGCAGCTGAAAGAAAGGGCTGGTGAGAATGGCGGCGGCGTTGCTGTCGGAGTCGGAGATCAGGCAGCGCTCCATGGCTGAGGAGGATCCGAACGGGAACGAACACGGAGCGGCCGCCCGCAGCAGCGCGCCACGATGGGGACCTCAGCACGCCGGGGCCCGCCAGCTGGCCAAACTCTACTCTCCGGGTAAGAGGGTCGTTTTGAGGGGGACAAGCACAAGAAACGTTAGCTACACTGGTGTGATCCTGTCACCTGTGTGTCACGTAGCTTGCAGCGTGTTGCTAAAGCTAAACCGCCAACGTGCAGAAGAGGGTAAGGCCAAAGTGGAGCATAGCTGTGCAGGTTCTGTTACGGTACAACAGGTGATTTCATCTAGTTTGAACGCTTGTGTTACATTTGTAAGAAGTATTAAGTCCCTGTTTACACATTTTGACGTTGTTTAATACTGGTATCTACCATGCGCCTTAGTAAATTACTTAAAAAAAAAATAGTTCACAAAAAAGCAGATTTACAGTTTCCCCTTCACCGAGTGCGGTCAGTTGACCAAGAGATGTTAGTGTCTGAAGATTTCTTCTTTAATTTTGCTCTGGTGCTCCTAGTTTAATGTAGCTAACAAGCAATAGTCGGTCACCCAGCATCCTATAACCTATACCAGAGATCACCCAACTCTCTTCCTGGAGACCTGCTTTCCTGGAGACCTGCTTTCCTGCAGATTTTATTTCCAACCTCTGTTTTTACCTAACACTAATGCATTTGATCCAGCCAGTCAGGCACTTCTGAAGAAATTATTTAGCTGGGATGGGTGTGGTCAATTGTGGTTGGAACTAGACTCTGCAGGAAGGCAGCTCTCCAGGACCAGGTTTGTTGACTACTGACCTACACTATGACCACATTAGCCTTATAGCTCCAGTTGCAGAACTGTTGAAACCCAACCTGTCCAACATGACCATGCCGATGTGCTACGTTTAGGATAAAGTAAAGGTTGTGTAAATTGTGTTAGCAGTGTGGTTGGGGATATAGTGTTAGTGTTTAGTGCTTTGAGAATGTGTGAGAGGCTTTTAGACAACCAATAAGCTTATAGATAGCCCGATAACAGCTCAGGAACTTGACATATAAAGACCTTTTGGCACAGATGTGACGCTCCTGTGCCAATTCATCGTAGCACTTGCCAGGCTCTTAAAATGACTCAGGAGTAGCGTCTGGAAATCAACACTCATTGCCACTTGCTTGCTAGAGGCATGATTGCGTTCGGCAGGCTAAGTGCTCTCCTTTTTTGTTAACACAGGTCCACTGGCAGGTCGTCTGACAGGGAGGGGGACAAAAAGCAAAATAACTTAATGCATGTTTCAGATTTGACTTTACTCCACTTTTGGCTTAATGGAAAGCACTTTGCTAGATCTCTGCATGCCATGGACAGAGGATCAGTGGTGATGCACAAAGTACCCCCCAATTCAAGCTTGGCTTTAGGAGGGAAAGAGGCTTTCACGTTCCGTGCCTGCTCTCTGCTGCTAGGCCTGGAATCTGTGTTATTGTGGCCGGGGGGGCCGTTGCCACAATTAAAAACAGATCTGTTTAATTCAAAATGCTATTAGGAGTGATAATGATCAGTTCATTTCAAGGCTGTTTGTCCATGGCCTGCTGGTGCACCCAGTGTGTTAGGCTTGTGCTGCCACTGGCCGGCCTTGTTAATTACTTGGGGAGGGTTGTGGTGGAGGCTAGAAGCAGTGAGTTTTACAGGGTTAATAAGTTAATGTGGTAATGCATCTCCCTGTTGATATGAGGGGATTGGGGTTGGGATTTTTGGATGAGTTGCCCACCAGCTGTGAGGTGGATGTTTGAGAAGCTTATCTATGGGAATCTCAAAGAAAGTGTTTGGGGGTTGTCTCTATGCTATTAACATGCCATGCACAACCAAACATACTGCCTAATTTAAGGAAAAATTATTTGGTTGGCCAATGATTTCTCCCAGCTGAAGTGTTAATGGGGTTAACTGCATGTTCAAGCTTTGAGAATAAGGCTTCAAATTTCATGCAGGCTCCATTTCATTTGGACCTTTCCTTCTCTCTCACTTTTCCATGTAAAATATCAGGGTGTTGTGCTACTTTAGCGTTGGGGAATTGAACCGATATGGTCCGGTTCCTCTAGAGCTCAGTATCTTACAGGGCTGGAATTTAGGTTACCAAACTTGAGCAAGTGTAGAGCCCTGGTCCATATGGAAGGTGGAGTTGAGCAGTGGTCTAAACCGCTGGACGTAATGTCAGCGCTGTTTAAGGCAGGTGCTCCAGAGGCCCAGCCAGGCTGGTCTTGAAGGTGGTGCGTGTGAATCTGTGCAAATTACAGAGAGCGGGATTGGCGTTTGAACGCATTGAGGCTCAGGGGCGAGACGGGATTGATGAGGCTTTGGTCTGCTCAATGGCGTCTCCGGCTCATTACTGCTACCCCAGGACAGTGGAACAGCTGGACACCGCTCCCCACCATATGTCTGCGTGTCATGCACCACTGACTGCTCTTTGCGCTTCTTTATCCCACTTTACAGATTGGCCTCGACGTAAACAAGATTCTGCCGACTACTTTCCGCTTTCCCATCCTCCCACCCACAAGCCGCTGTCAGAATGCTCTGGTTGCTGGGCACCTAGTGCATGTGTGTATCTGTCAGTGTGTGCTTGTGAAGGAGAAGGAGACGTCAATCTTCTGTTACATCGGAAGATCGGGTTACCATACTCTGCTGCTGCTTGTGACTGTGACCTTTCACATTTGCTCCGTGTTCGTGTCAGGTTGACACTGCTGCTTCGTGAATTGCTCACAGGGTCTAGGGCAGTGGTTCCCAGCCCTGCTCCTGGAGCACCTGTAACGTAACCTCGCACTTTTTTTTTTTCCTTCTCAGTTCTAACACACCCGCTTCAATTTAGGATTTCTCAGACAGCCCAAAAGTCAAGCTTGTTTAATAGGCAAAGAAGTAAAGGTCATTTCTGTTGGACAGTTGATCTCTGGTGCCAGATTGCATTTAAATGGTATAAATACTAAAGTTTACATAATTAACAGTAACTTAGTAAAAATCAGAATGTATTTGACAGTTCCTACTGTAAAGCATTTTCCTCTGAGCTGGCATAACATTCTAAGCTGAGTCCTTTTGTTCCACACAAAGTTTAGTGGACGACAACCCAAATATTCCTTCAGTGCCACCGAATTTCACTGTGTGAAAAAGCATGTTATTGCTGAATTACAAGGTTTCCGCAATAAATATTTATATGGACTGACATGCAACTGTCGGTATAAACAAAATTAAAAGGTTAATGAAAGAACTTGATAAGGCCATGCTTTATTTTATATTCTGCTACATCCATGCTATCCCTAAGATGTTCCTGCTGTTCCGGAGTAGGAGAATCAGGTGGGGGAAAATCGGTACTGTGACTTGCTATTTACATCTCTATGTGTGATGGCCATTTATCCAGGTTTTAGGACATCTCCCTCTTCATGATTTATGAATATTGCTCATCATTGCTCATATTGCTGCCCTGTACATAGGCCGCACCCTTCCCCCTCATTTATTGAGAAGTCAAATGGTGTGCTGCGTAACTTTGTTACCCAAGTTACTTTACGTAAGCGTAAAGTGGAGCATGACTAGTTGTGAGGAGCATGACCAAAATTCTTTTTAATAAGAACCATTTTTAACAACCAAAGTAAACCTGGAATATTTTTATTGTACTAAATATTGAAAACAAAACTGAATAATATATAGATAAACATATGTCAGTTTTGCTTTCTAGTGCTAAATTCTGTTTTACATCTTCATTTCTACACAGCTGAAATTGACTTATTCTGCAGCTTTTTTTCTCATTTTTCAATCCACCTAGCTGTACAGGTGCCTAAAAGTAAATGATACACCCTTTAAGGTGCAACATGCATTTAAAATAAGAAGCCAAGTTTATCATTGTTGAATTTTCCCATTCGTTTGTTTCCGGTGTACGTCCCGTATGCTCATGCTGACGACCATCAGACACTGCTGGAATTGAGAAAATTTTAGTTGCTCACACTTCAGCACCAGCTGGTCCATGGCTTGTTGTGGGCACAAGGCCACAGAGGCTGCAACAAGGGGAAACACGGCAGTTGGTCCAGTGTCCATGTTAGGCTAGGACTAATCCCCAAAAAGACTGGCTATTGCTTTATATCTGCTCCTTTGAAAGCAAAGTGGACTACTGCAGATGCAACAGACTAGATAACAGGAGGCGAGAAAGAGTGTCCTGTGTTTTTGTTGTCATTTGAAATGTGAATGTCTCTGAATAGCCATTCAGCTAAACAGGCTAACGCTAACCTAATTTACACTGTTTTGAATGTTGCATTATCTGTGCTTATTTGTATTATGCTGGTGTAATGGTTATGACAAAACTCATACCTGATGAAGAATTTCAACCAGTGTACTGCCTGAACTCGTATACTGCCCACTACTAGGTATCACTTGTGAAATACCCCTCTAATTTGTTGTTAGATCACAAAAAACACCAGCGTTTCTCCAGGATCAGGGTTGGGAACCACTGGTCTAGAGCCAGGCTTGCTGTACAGCACAGCCTCTCCTATGAGCATTTAGCGTTGGCAGACACACTGACCCACTACTGCACGTGGAGCTTCCGCTTATCAGTAGTTTAAACACTGCAGTGTTTATTTATGGTGTCTATCTTCCAAGATAAGCCAACAAAATGTCAACAAACCGCTCAAGGAAGCGTGCCCTTCTGTGTGTCAATCTCAACCCTCATATGATTACCCTTGGAAAAAAACACTTCCCTTTATTCACACCATTTTGCATGACCTTTGTTGTGAATGGGGGTCACTCATTCTCTCTTTCAAGCTACAGGAGGTTGTAGATATGTGGTGGTGTTGCCTGATACAAGAAGGAGAGACTTGGTAGCCAGTGACTTTACTGACTTTGAACTTGCATTGTGCAGTCAGAGTACTTGTGCCAGGCTTGCAGATGGAAATGTACTGAAGCAAATCAGGCTAAGTGGCCCCAGGCCAAGATCACTGTGTCCAGCCGTGGCCTCGTGGTCTTAAGTTCACCCGCCTATCAGTCTCTCAGATCAGAACTACTGTCGCCTGTTCTGAAACCAGTCCTTATTCCATCCATTCAGCTGCAGACAATGGCTGTAAGTCCTGGAGCTTCCATAAGCAGTGTCCTAAACCTGTTAACATAC